GATTAACCTCCGTAACACACAATTTCTTCATGTGAACATATCTTTATTCACCTTTGTGTATCTTTTTATATTTTGTGTCTATCCTTTAAAACACATCTCAGTGCTACTTGGACAATTTTCTTATTATTGTTTTATATACACTACATACCATATATGTACTGTATATATATGCAATATGTATACATATATATACACACACATATATAAGCCTACTACTTTTCACATCCAAGCATATTTTATTTGTAATTGATGTAAAAGGTTACATTGCACCAACTGTCCATCATTGCCGCTCTCACTTCCTAATAACAGGATGTACAGGTATCTCTGCTGCTGTTATAGGCAATACTGGGAGAAGGCATCCCCATGCAGTCTTTTTATTTGCTAAGAATCACCAATGAAGATGAATTGTCAAGAAAATGATTAACCATTTTCCATAAGGGAGGAGCCCTTTTCATACTTCTGCCAAACATTGCCTGTTTCTATCCCAAAGTATTGTCTTCTCAACTCTTTGTTGTTAGTGTTGCCTAATGCAAAGCACACACGCCTTAACATCAGGTGGAACTAGGTTCAAATCTCAGCTAAGTCACTTCCTGTCAGAGGGTGATGAACCTTACCTCTCTGAGCCTCCATTTTCTCATTTGCAAAATAGGAGTAGTGAAACTGATCTCATTGTGGAGATTAAATGAGATTACAAATACCAGTGTTCTGCCCAGTGCCTGGTTTATTTTAAGTGCTAAATCCATTCTTCTCACCCTCCATACTTTTTTTCCCCTTGGAATTATTTGGGACGAGCTACTTTCCACTTTCTTAACTTCCCATCCTTCTTGAACTCTGTTCCCCACAAAAAAATATCCTGGCGGAAGAACAAGAAGTATCACTCCTCTGAAGAGTGCTGCTCAACAGAAATATAAAGCCAGCCACAATTCAAGCCACCTGTGTAATTTAAAATTTTTAGTAGCCACACTTAAAAAGTAAAAATAAATAGGCTAAATTAATAAAACCTATTTATTTAATATATTTAAAAGTATTTTTTATTTAACCCAATGTGTCCAAAATATTATCTTTTCAATATATCATCAATATTTTTAAGTATTACTGAGAAATTTCACATTTCTTTTTCTGTTGCTTGTAATATCTTTGAAATCTGATGTGCATTTTATACCTACACTACATCTCAATTTAGACCAGCTCTGTTTCAGGTATGGCTAGAGAGTACTGTATTGGATAGCATAGGTCTAGGACTGAGACTTGAAGATTAACAGGTATGCAATGTTTCAAATGAGACCATCAGCCAAGGGCTTAAGAACGTTGCCTGGAGACATCATCTCAGGTGCGAAGTGCATAGTGATCATTTGCAGCTCTTGGAGAATAAATGCAAAGCCCTCGCTGCAACTGGATGGGGAACAGCAACTCTGTAGTGTGGCTCAAGGAGCTCTGAGAAGCTCATCTTCCCCCTCTCCTCCGTGCACAAGGTATCGCTCACTCTCCCCCAGGTAGCCACACTCTGGTTTTGTTAGCCCCTGCAGGAAGGTCACATGGGGGCAGGTGGTGCCAAGACTTCTTTTCTCCACTTGGAGATGTCTAATAGCCCTCTCAACTTTGTATGTTCAACCCTGTATTACCGAATGCAAATATGTTCCTTCTGCCTTTGACCCAGCTCAATAAATGACAATTCCATGCACCCTGTTCCTGTGGAGTCATTTCTAACTGCTTTCTCCCACATCCTACACCTCAAACACCATCAAATCCCACACTCAAAAAAGCAGGTCACCACTCTGACCACCTCTCATCACCTCTACTACTATGGCACTGTAGCAAGCCACCACTATGTCCAGCCTGGATTATCTCAACAGCCTCTTAACTGGTAGTCTTGCTTCTACCTTTGCTACCCAGAGAAGATCTAAAATGATTCTTCTTTAAATGCAAGCATACATATTTTTAATGAGTCAAAAAACATATTTTCAATGGCAATAAAATTATATAAAAATACAAACCAGTAATGAGTGAATCTAGGCAAAATATGAACTATTTTATGAAGAAAGTAATAAGATTTTATTAAATACTTTAAATAGGTCTTAGTAAATGAGGAGACATACGTGTTCATGAACTGGATAAGTTGTTGTCATAAAGATACCACTTTCCTCCAAATTTAATTTGCAATCAAATCTGAACATAACTTTTTTATTGAACCTGATAAGCTGATTCTAATATTCATATGAAAGAAGAAAATACCAAGAATGTCATGACAGAATGAAAAAAGAAGGGAAAAAAATATATGAAGAGACTCTTTCCAGATATTAAAATTTATTATAAGCTTATAGTAAATAATATTATATAGTATTGTCAAAGGGATAAACAAATTGACAGAATGGAAAGAACAGAAGCCCATATATGTATATATGCCATGTACATATACATGACAACTTGATTTACAACAGAGCTGCTGTAGATCAGTGGCTAAAAAAAAATGGCCTTTCTAATTAATGGAGCTAAGACTCCTGGCTATCCATATGGAAAAAACAACAAAAACAACAAAAAAACAACCTCTACCTCACACCATACAGAAAAAGAAATTATTTCTAGGTGAGACTAAAGACTTATATGTGAAAGGCAAAAATCATTTAAAAAAATTTTTTTTAATGCAAGAAAATAATTGTATGACTTTATAGTGAAGGAAAATTTCTCAGAACATAACAAATGTCTATCATAAGGAAACATTGATAACTTAAGCTTGTTTGAAATTAAGAAATTAGGCCATTAATAGAAGTCACAACAAATATAAGGAGACGGCATGAACAAGAGGAAAACATTCATAACATACAAAATAACAAAGGATTGATATTAGACTACACATTAAATTACAAAAAATCTGTAGGGTGAAAGGCAGATGACTCCATAAAGAAATGGGCAAAAGATTCGTACTGGAAAAGGAATCCAGAACAGCCAATGAGCATATAAAAAGATGCCTAATGTTAGTAATCCAGGAAATGCAAATTTAAAACAGACAGCTTTTCATTTTCACTGGACTGGCAAACATGAAAACTCCAACAATGTCAAATGTTGGTGAAGCGGTGGAGTAATGGAAACTTCTACGTATTGCTGATGGGTGGGTACAATGGTATAACTGGTTTGGAAAATGATTTAGAATCATCCAGTAACGCTGAAGATATGTATGTCTTAGAACCTACGGATTCCACTCCTAGGGTACATGCCTTTGGGAATTCTTGCACACATGCCTCAGGACATACATATGAGGAGAGTCCCAGCACTGCTTGTACATGCGAGAGCACCTAGCAGTTTATAAAAGAAAAGAAAAACAAAACTAGACGTATCCCAGTGGCCTTCAACAGTAACATGGAGAACTACGCTGAGATCTATTCATACATAGCAGCACCCACACAGCAGTACACAGGAGTGAATTAGAGGCACGCACAAGACGAAGGAACTTCAGAAACATAATTTGAGCAAATTAGGCAAGTCTCAAAGCATATTTAATCCTTATTTACAAAGCTCAAAACATGCAAAACTAACACATATTTAGCAATTGAAATATGTGAGGTAAAACTATAAGGAAAACCAAGGGAACAGCCCCAAATTCAGGATAATAGTTTTCTGTGACAAGACTGGGAAAAGGACAAGCACAGACGACTTCAAAGATGCTGATCATCTTAAAAAAGAAATAAACACTAAGGTGGCTGCACACAGGGGTTATGTTGCTTTTACTCCTTATGCCCTATATGCTTTTCCTAAATTTCCTTTTGCATCTCCTCAATGTGCTAGAAGCTCCCAAGTCTGGGGGAGTAAAGTCCAGGTCCTCACACTGGACAGGAAGGCCCTCCCTGACCTGACCCCACCCCATCCCTCTCAGGAGGGGCACCTGGCATGCCGCTCGCCCCTCTCTGCCACCTTGGCCTCCACCAGGCTTCTTCCAGTGTCCTTTGGTTTTCTTGATTCTCCTGCCCCAAAACGCCTCTCAGAAACCCACACGGCTCAGGCCCTCCTTTCCTTCAGGACTCCACCCAGAAGGCACATACATTCCCAGCTCCTGACCACCCCCCTACTCCCTGCCCCCTGCTGTCCATCCCCTTCAGCCCACAGCATCAAGCGCCGCCAGCCCCTGACCGCTGACCCTTGAGCCTTCAATAGTAAATGGCAGGAAGTGGCTCTCAATAAATACTTGTTGAATTATTTAATGGATGACTGCAGAAAATCAAGTCAAAGTCGAATCACCCATAGAAAGGGTAATTCATGTGATACATGAAACCTTAGTTGCCAGATGAGCTCTTTATCGCTTTGGAGAGGCTGGTTCATCATTCTGTGAGGTGCAATTTCAGGGGGAGAGAAGAGCAAATTCCCAGTGAGCCAGGTGGTCCTGCTTATTTAGAAAATGGCATTTCTAATGTTTGACGTGGTAATTCCCATGAGGAAGGGGGGCCCAAAGAGGCACCTACTTACCAGATCCTCAGGGAGTAGCCAATCACAGGCCCAGACAGAGCCAGCTCTCTCTCAGTGACTAGTCTGAAGTGGCCCACTCGGCTCAGCACCCTTCAGAGGCCTGCATGGGGGCTGGGCAAGGGAGTGTCCTGGTCAGCACCCCCACCATCCTTGGAAATTGGTCCAGATAAGCTTGGATACAATCTCTGCTTGGTGTGGCAGGTCACCTTCCTTAGCAGAACAGTGAGAAAGGACTTGATCTGAGGTAGGAGGATGAGAGACGGTCCAGAAGCCCAGCCTAGCACAGCACACTCTAACAGTGACAGACACCCAACAGACCCAGCCTCCGGAGTGGCTCTGACTGCCCGCACCACCCTCCCAGCACACACTCTAGCTCATCAGCTCACCTCCTCTCCCACACCCACATGCCCAGATCAGGCACTGGTGGTCACGTGCGTTCCCATGCTCCACTTTCTAGGAGGAGGCCAGTAGGCCCAGCCTGAGAGAAAGGAACCCCAAGCCCACCTCAGACCTGGCCTGGTGTGGCCAAGTGAAAGATGACCTACCAGAGGTGTGGCAGTCTGGGCCTGTAGACATCAGATGGCGTGGGTGCCCCCATACCAGGCCACAGCCCCTCAGGCTTGCAGGGAGGGGACTTAGCCCAGCATTGTCAGGCTTCAGCAGTGTTTCACTATGAATCACTCAAACTGGGTCTCTGCTCATTTCCTGGAGAAAGCAGAAGTGGAGAGTCATCAGATGCCTGATTCCGCCTATTCCCCAACCATCAACAGAACTGCCTGAGTTCCGGTAGGTGGCTCCAGCCATGCAGAGAAGCCTCTCAGGGCAGAGGTTAAGCAGTGCTGGGTGCGGCCTAGGACAAAGAAGAAAAGCTAGTGAATAGTGGACACAGACTTTAGCTCTGTGCTATTGGGCTAGAGTTTTCCTTTTTTCCTAGCCCCTTGCATCCTCTCTGAGCCTCCAGAAAAATGAGGATATTGATGGTGTTTCGACGAATTTAGAGATTTATCAAAGTGCATCCACGAATGCTGCATGGGTTCATCAGCCCCCTCCCTGCCAGGCCCAGGGAAGGCCTCTCACTTGGATTCCTTCCTTCATCCTCAGACCTAACTTGATCAACGAGTCCTCTAAGGTCAGATGGCCAGTGGTGGTTTACACTGAAGTAATAACAAAAGAAAAGTCTAAGTAATATAATGGAATTCTCTTGAAACTCAGTACCAAAATTCTATTTCCTTTAGGTATCTTAGGTTGATTAATTTCATATCATCTATACATAACGTCATCCATGCAGGATCAGACAGCATGACCACTCTCACAGAATACTTTCTTGTGCCATGTGAGCAAGAGCAGTGGTTAGTATAGATTACTGATCCTTAAAGCCAGCTCATCACCTGCTCCTAGCTCACAACCAACTGACCATTTATGAGCAACTGTAAGTGAGAGGCAGCATCATCTGTTATGGGAGATAAAAAGGCTCTGAGATTGGTCCAAAGGGGAAAACAACTTTGTAATGAAACCACAGCTCTCACCAGTGCAAACTTGCCAGTAGACAGCAGTCAAAATAGGAGACCTGTCCAGTTTAAAACTGAGGGCACATGCCCATGCTGATCCCATGACCATTCCTTGGCAGGAGTCAAAAATACCAGTATCCCTTCCTGAGTTTTCATTCTTTATCCTCTGTCCATGGGCAGAAAGGAAGCTGAGATGGAAGCTGGAGGGGTGCAGCACAGTGGGGTAACTGGGGTTATCCTGAGACATGCAATGGTGTTTGCAGCAAGAATCACCTTGCTGAGCTAGAATGGGCTCCAGTTTTTTTTTAGAGCAAGAAATTAAAATCTATGGTAATACTATTTCCAAAATCTATCATGTTGTATAGTCTGTACATTATGGGCCAAAAAAATGTTAATTTTCTAGGCAGCTGATACAAGACTCTTACCTAGGGAGAGACCTGCTTTTGTTGACTATAGATAATAGGTTAGGAGAGGTGAGGCTCCTGGGTTGAAAATCTCAGTTGAAATCCTCCCTGCAAACTAGGACAACATCTTTAAGTCTGCTTCTTATTTGTGGAATAGAATTAATGCAATATTATAAGGAACAAATCAAGTAGTATTTGCAGGAGGGTTTTTAAACACTAAAAAGAGCAATACAAATAGAATCTGCTGCTATTACTATTGAAAAAGTTGCCCTTGGTAAGATACTGACGCAGTTAGGGAAACTATGAACTGCTTATATAAATGTGTATTTTTGTTAAAGGGGAATGGTGAGATTCTATGATTTTTTTAAATGTCCAAAAGCAGCACTTATACTTCTTCTTCCAGTTATAACACTGTAACTGGTACAGGACACACCCTCCCACTGAAAGTAACTCTAAAATAGGGTGACTATATGAGACAACTGTTTTCAGACACTGAAGAGCAGGCAGCATAAAACTGTGATCTCTGAGACAAGAAAAACACATTAAGGGAGCCCCACAGTTGCCCTGGCTTTCTTCTTATGGGTACTTTCCTGCCATGACATAGGGACATAGCCCCAGAGCAGTAATCTCCCTGAAGTGGACAGGTGTAAAGACAAGGTGTTCCAGGCTTCTGAAGGGGTTGGAATGTTCAGGGCCAGGTTCTGTGAAAAATGTGTTTTGTGGAAATTCATTGTGAATGTACTTAGTCAAGGATTACCTATGCATGCATAGGGTAAAACTCCAACAGACCTAACAGAGATCACCTGCTCCAAGGGTGAGAACTGAGTGGAGGTAACAGTGATTGGGCAGTGTTAGGAATGTTGGAATTACATCCCATCAAGAGTGGAAAGACCCCACTGAGCATCTTGGGTTTTTATCTTATACCCTAGAAATGCCACACCAGATAAATAAGAACCTCATCCTTTTGTAGAAACCATGAATTACTGACGAGTTTAAAATTGAAATAAAAGAGCCTTAACAAAGAATAAAAGAATGCCTGGCAGAACCAAAAGGAGACTCCAGTAATTTAACTGCCAATCAGAACAAAACACATCATCCTTTAAAAGAAGGAGACATGATGCGGTATTCCTTCACTTTGTCCAGCACACAGCTAAACCTAGTGTGAATCTGAAGAAACAGAAAAGTGTGACTCATAGCAAGAAAAATAACTATCAATAGAAACAGACTCTAGGATGAACCAGATGTTGAAATTATCATTCAAGAACTTTGAGAAATATGTTCAAGGATTTAAAGGAAAATAGGTGTAATAACTACAAGATGGGAAATTTCAGCAAATGAATGGAAAATATTAGATGATTAGAATGTAAATTTTGAAAGTGAAAAGTATATCTGAAATGAAAATTTTACAAATGGACCAACAGCAGATTGGTAATTGCAAAACACATTAACCAACTTGATGACCAATTAATAGAAATTATTCAATCTGGAGGACAAAGAGAAAAAGATTGAAGAAAAATAAAGATGCACTCAGCTGCCTTTGGAAGAATATCATATGGTATAATATATGTGTAACTGGACTCCCAGGGAATAAGAAGAGAGATAAGAGAGCAGCAAAAAATATTTAAGAAATAATGTTTGAAATTTCCAAATTTTGTTGAAAAACAGCAAATTACAGATACAAAAAGCTTACTAAACCCCAAGCAGAAAAAATAGAAAGAAAACCATACATAGGCACATAATAGTCAAACTCCTGAAAATCAAAAATAAAAAGATTAACTTAAAACAGTTAGACAAAAGAAATACTACATATAGGGGAACAAGCAAATGTATTATTGAAACAGTGGAAGTCGTAAGATAATAGAAAGATACCTATAACATGCTAAAGGGAAAAACAGAAATTGTTAACTCATAATTCTTTATTCAATGATATTCTTGAAAAAAAATGATGACATAAAGTTATTTCCAGATTAATGACAGCTAAAATCATTTATTTCCAGAAAACTTGCACTATAAGAAATTGTAAAGGAAGTTTTTGAGGCTAAAGGGAAAAAACACCAGATAGAAATGTAGGTGCACATAAAGGAAAGAAGAGTACTTCCTTTGTAGTTACTTTCCAAATGTAAGCATACATAATAACAAATCTGTGAGTTAATATGATAAAACTATGACTTTTTCTTGTCTTAATTTCTTTAAAAGACTATGACTCTTTAAAGCAAAAAATGTAACACTGTACATCACATTTTATACCATATTAGACAGGAATCCCAAAAGACTGAGGGAGTAAATGGAAACATACTATTGTAAACTTATCATATTTTATATGAAATAATATTTTATTAAATCTAAATTACAAAAAAATTACAATAAATTAAGGATATATATTCCATTTGTAACTTCATGACAAAGATGTCAGGAAAGTTAAAGCTCGGTCTTAGTCAATAAACCCACACCGAGCATCATTTCTGTGCCAGATGCCAACTAGACCCTGGAAAAACAGACATAAATAAGACAAAGCTTTTGTTAAGGTTACTTCCTACAACAGTTGTTCAAGTGGACAGGAGAATCTCCTTCAATAGTGATTCAGGAATACAAGCTCCATTGTCCCTTAGGATTTTGTTGCCATATGAATCCAGTTAGCAACAGAGGAAAGAGAATGGACAAGGTGTACCTCTATTCAAAAGCCCAGTCTATAAATGGCATGCATCACTTTGCCTTGCATTCCTTTGGAATCTCACAGCCATATGACAAGGAAGGCTATGAAGTGAAGCCCCGCCATGTGCCAGCCTTAATCCTATTATTGCAACAGAATTTACTTTGTAGCCTATCAGTCTTTTCCATATTCTCTTCAGAGAGCTTACAATCTATACTCAGGACAATAAACAAAAATGTTAATAATATTTTTTGTTTTAAAATAGACCATGTTAATTTTATACATGATGAAAAATATATATAAAGAAGAGAGAATACAATTAAAATCATTAATACTGCCCTAAACAGCTTAATCAATAGCCAATATGAGAATAGCATTTAATTCTTTTTTTTTCCATGTTTGTCAAAGTATACTTCTTTGGTCTTAATTTTTGTCTTAACAACTTTAAAAGCATGCCATAAATTATGCTTCATTAAGATGTTGGGGTTCTTTTTTCATTTAAGTCTTAATAAACACTTTCCCATTTCATTATTACAATATACTTTTTATAATGGGTTGGAATCAAGAAGGAGGACTGTTTCCACATCAATTGGATTTTTTTTTAATCTGGAGAGAAAACAACTTTTAGAGCTACTTGAATTTCTATGGATCACAATGAACTCCAGGAAAAGAGAGGGAATCCAACCAGCAGATTGTATTTCCTCAGAAGGTGAAGGACATGAGTACCAGTGCAATGGGAAGGTAATTCCACAAGATACCTGGAGCCTGCAGGAAACAGAGATAATACTGATGGAGACAGGAGGCATTGTGGAGAAGAGAGAGGGGATTGGAAAACTACAAATGGTTGAAGACTTTACCAATTTTCAAAAATAGCTGGAAGGTAGAATATATAACACTGCACTGGTAGTACTGACAAAACAGTCAAAAGGAGTCCATTGAGAAGGTAAACAAGAACCATAAGCTGTTGCTCAGTTCAATTCAGGCCATTCAAGCCACTTCAATAAGCATAATGATTGCTAGGACCAAGTCCTACACTGGGTTCTACAGGCACAAATAAGAGATAAGAATGCCTACCTCAAGGAGCTATCAAACCAAGAACAAGTCCTTCAGGCTAAGCTC